AGCATGATTGGAAAACTGCTGGCAAAAAAAAATGTGGCTACAATTCTTCAGATATTTGTGTCTCAAGTACAGGCAGAGGAGACCTCAGGATAGTTTTCTCCATCTCAAGTCTGCCAGGACATAGAAAGGGTCAGTTTCTCTCTCTTTGGATTGGTTTGTATTGCAGATGATCATGGAGGAACTTAAGCATAAAAACATTTTCCTTGTCAAATGTACATAAGAAATCATGTGAAAACAACAATGTCCACAACCCACTTTTTTTGTGGGTTAGGGAAGAGATTACATCAGCAGGGAGAAACCTTTATAAATGAGTGGGTAGGATGGTCTGCTATGAGGACAGTCTTTTTGCCTTCTCATCAACGGCTCAGTGCACCCATGAACAATGTATTCATGGTGAAGGGATGGAAGGTGCCTGCTCAGCAACCTGACTTCCACTCACCAAGGCTGACCTGGTGACAGCTGCTGCTGAGTGACACTGAGTCACACCATTCTCTGGGTTAGGCAGTGACCGGGTGGCAGGTTGACTATGTTGGACCCCTTCTTCATAGATAGAGCAACACGTTGACCTTACTGGAGTTGATACTTCCTCTGGCCATGGCTTTTCCTTTTGTGCATACAATGCTTCTACTCATAGCACCATCTGTGGACTTACAGAATGCCTTATCCAGTCATGGTAGACCATAGAGCATCGCTTTGGACCAAGGAACTCACTTTACAGATAGGAAAGTGTGACAGTGGGCCCATACTCAGAGTCTACTGGTTTCAGCATGTCACCCACTACCCTGAAGCATCTAGTCTGATAGGATAATGGGATGGACTTTAAAAGACATAGACATGTTGCTAATTAGTGACAAAAGTCTGGAAGGCTGGGCAGCGTCCTTCAGGAGGCAGGTGAACTGTCAGTCAGAGTCCTGTATGTGGTACTGCCTCTCCCACAGTCAGGAGTCGGAGCTAGAAACTAGAATGGCAGAATGCACCTTCATTCCTGGTGCCCAGCAGCAAAAGTCTCACTTCCTGTCTCAGCAGTTTTCATGCATTGTTGGCACAGAGTCTTGTTTCTGGAGTGGAGGGTGTGGTTCCACTGGGAGGTGCCACACCAGCATTCAAGGATCATGCGCCCAATTCCTATGTGGCTTCCCCCAATCCCTTCAAATGGCCATCTAAGTATTCATTCAGCTCCTGCTCTGAAGGTGGCTGTCTTGGAAACTGTTTTCCCAGCTTCATCTGAATGGCACACAGGTGGCCACTGAAGGGCACACTGCACATGTCCACATTGAGCTGTTTATTACCGGCTCCAGGAGAAGGTGAGACAATGGATTGGGATGTTGTTGACCTTTATATAGCTTGGGGCAGTGTATCCCTTCCCACTCCCCCTCCCCTGGTAGGCCATAGGGCCAAACACCATTGAAATTCCAGTCTGAAACCTCAGCCAGGCCCGGAACATATGTTTCACCCTGAAAGGAACAATGGAGCCCCTGAGCTTAATTAAGACCCCACAAAAAGCCCTTGGCTGGGCAGGCCTCATTCTCTGCTTTCCGATCACCCCACCCCCACCCTCCTCCAAGGGAGGATGGATGAAAGGCTGGTTTGCTACCTCCTGGCCTTTCTGTCCTCACACCATGATCTCTGTGGATGTAACATATTGCTCTCATTCTAAGGGACTAAGAGACTTCATCCTTGAGCCAAGATGAGTGCCTGCAGCCTGGGGACATGGATTCAGATCGTGTTAAAGATTTCCCAAATACTCCAGGGGTTATTGTAACTCTAGGCAATCTCTGTCACAGGTTTTAAGTGACCTTATGGCATTCTTAGCTTTTGGGTGGGTGGGAGCAAGGGGCTTGTTAATACATTCCTAAAGGTTTTACCTGATAACCTGATATGCACAGGGATGTTAGGTCAGGCATAGAGATGGCGATGAGTGTCTATTCACGGGACTAAAGATTGGCCAGAATAACTTGACTCTGGATCTGTATCATTCCAACTCCCCACAGTTACAAAGTTCTAATGACTCAATCAAGCAGGTAGAATCTTTGTCACAGATGTGAGCTCCCCCCACCCCACCCCTGCCGCCCCCTGCCCTGGGACCTTGAGTTCACATCTCTGTCCATTTTTTGAGTCTTGGAGTAGAAAAAGGCCACCTTAGCTCCTGGGGCCAGTCAGGCCTAGCTACAGAAACAGGCAGCCAATGAGAGCCTGCTGGACTTCCTGGCCCCGAGTCACAATGGCTCTGGGACTCTGGTGAGGTTGGAGGGTGAGCATCTGTCCAAGCCCTGATCTAACCTGAACTTCAGTGGTAAAGTGTGCAAAAACGGGCTGCTCTGACAGTAGGAAGTAGCCCCAGTTCTGGGAGTTAACTGCCTGTGAAGGCTGCCAGGGCCTGCACAGCACAGAGCTTAAGAGATGTTTATGTGGAATAAATTTACAAATTTGAACTTATTTAACACAGCTCTTGCCCTGCTTATAGCAAGCTGGGAGTTACCAGTCTTCACAGGAGGTCACTTTATCGTAGTTTTACAGAAGGGTTAACATGACAGAGAAAGGGGACCACACAAGGTCAAATAGCAAGGAGACAGAGAAGCCAGAAAATGCAAATCTAAGCTCCCTGGCCCTGGAAGCTGCCCACCCTGTCCAAGGGAGAACAGAGCTGTCTGAGCACTTCCCACTAAACTGGCTCCTTCCGTGATCCTGCATCTGCCCCCCACACCCCGTGCAGGATAGAAGGCTATTCCAAAAGGAATGTCCATTGATCACTAAACAGGCCAAAACATGGGCTGGAGAGATAGCTCAGTGGTTAAGAACATTGACTGTTCTTCTTCCAGAGGTCCTGAGTTCAATTCCCAGCACTCACATGTTGGCTCATAACCATCTGTAATGGGACTGATGCTTTCTTCTGGCAGTGCAGTTGTACAGGAAGACAGAACACTCATATACATAAATAAATCTCAAAAAAAAAAAAAAAAGTAAGTCAAGACACTGAACCCTGCCTGCCATACATAAGAGCCATGTGGCCCTGCCTGCCAGTCATATGTGAGTTTCTTGCCAGTATTGCCCCAACTTATTGCCTAGAGCTCACTACACTTTTTGTAATACTTCCTTTGGTTTAAAACAAAAACAAAGTCACAAAAGCTTTGGTTGGAGTTGGGGAGTTGGAGAGCTGGCTTGCGGTTAAGAGCACTTGTTGCTCTTGCAGTGGACCAGAGTTCAGCTCTCCTCACCCTCATTGGGCAATTAGCAAATGTCTGCAACTCTAGCTCTCCAGAATCTGATGTCCTCTTCTGGCCTATGTGGGCAACTGTGTGCAAATACACACACACACACACACACACACACACACACACACACACACACCTATGCATAAGTAACATAAATGTTTTAAAAAGATGTTTTAAAATGTATGTTGCATTTTGAATATAGCATGTCCCATGGGCTCATGCTGTGAATGCTTGTTCCCAGCTGGAGTCATCTTGGGAAGTGAGAGCCATTTGGAGAAAGCTGTCCCCTGCATACATTCCTTTGATGGCTAGATAAGGAGGAGGTTATATGGTAAGTCACCACCTTACCCTTTTGCATCCTGTTTGCTTATGAGGTGAACAGCTCCCCTCTCCCACATACATCTGTCACCACAATGTTCTTGCCAAATGCACATATGTCACAACTACTTGCTAATATAAAATTATTCTAGCTGGGCATGTTGGCACACACTTTAAATTTCAGGGAAGCAGAAACAGGCAGAGCTCTGAGTTCTAAGCTAGCTTGGTCTATATAGGAAGTTCCAGGCCAACTGGTGCTACCTTGTCTAAAAGAAGAGGGGGCAGTGAGAAGGGATACTCTTACTTTTCTGGGCTTCCACTTTATCATAAATTCCAAGTTTTAGGTTTGTTCTGATGCCATTCACCCAATGCCATTTTATGAGTCAGGTGCCTCAACCGCTAAGTCTAAGCTTGGAAATCTGCATCCAGCAAGATGGGGTAGATGCACTTTCTCCAATTCTTCTGTTAAAGACAGCAAACATCCTTAGACATCAAATGTAAAGCAAAAACAAGACTTTGACACCTGGGGTGGAGCAGGTAGACTGTGACCTGTGTGACCCAGGGAATGGCAACCCTTGGCTGAGGGAGCCTCTGGTTTTGCTTTGTGCTTTGACCTCAGATTAAGATCAGAAGATGCTAGTGACCTTGAAACAGTGGACAGTAAAAGCCACCAGGAAGTCTGCTCCCTTCAGCCAGAAGGCTAGTAAAGAAAGGGTACTTTGTAAGACAGAACTCTTAGAAGGTAGCTGCTTTGCTCAAGCCAAACACCAAAGGAAAGCCTGTGATGGCAAGGTGCTGGCTCAGCCTAGATTTCCACCCTGGGAGGCTGCACTCCTCTAAGCATTTCTACCAGAATAGTGTCAGAGGGATGCCAAGCAGTGAGTCCCCTCCTTCCGTGTGGGCTCCAGCGATCCAACTCAGGTCATCAGGCTGGGAAGCAAGTGACTTTACTGGCTTCACCATCTGCCGGTTCTGTCTGTCTGTCTCCTTCCCTCCACTCACCTTCTCTTCCCTTTCTGGGATTTCCCAGACTATCTAGTCTTCCTCCTGCTTCCACCCAGACTCACTATGAAACACCCCCTGAGCCTGCCCTGTGATCCACACCTCTTCTTCCCCAAGGGGCTTGGAGCTCCTGAAGGGCAGCACTGGGTCCTACTCAAGGGACACTGAGTCACCTGGGCCTATTTGACTTCTACCTGTGGGCTCAGCATGTGTCTACTTCTCTTCTCCATCCGGGTGGGTCCTGGGCTTCTCTTCCCCATCATGTATTGTCCCACACTCCCTGACTTGACTACTTTTCAGCCCCCTCACCTCTTCCCTAGAGTCCTTCCTCCTCTTCCCTCCTCCTCCCTCCCCCTGTCAAGCTGCTCCTCCTTTTCCTCCTCCCTCCTCCTGGTTCCGCAGCTGCAGTTCCACAGGCAGTCGGCAGGGGGAGCCCCGTGCCGGGCCTCGCCCCTGCGGCGCGCGCTTCCTGTGAGGTCAGGTGGGAGGAAGCGGCCACCGTGGACGCCCAGGCCCGCGAGCCGTGCGCGCAGGTGGGTGTTCGCGCCGGGACCGTGTCGGTGTCAGGGTCCGGGTCCCTCCCCACCTCTGCGGGGACTGGAGCCTCGCCTGGCCGAGATACTGCTGCAGCGCGGGTTGTCCAGCATGCGGAATGACAAAGCACGGGACGCCACGCGGGACCGCGATGTTGCGGGTCCACGCCGTGCTCCTTCCCCAGGATCCAGCCTGCCTCAGTGCCCCAGCACGGGGAGAGTCCAGATGTATACCCGGGAGCTCCTCAGCTGACAGTGCACGGCCCACTGTCACCCTTGGGGGCTGCAGAGCTGGGGTTCCCCAGAGCCCCAGCCCAAGCTCACACCCCGTGTGGTGGGAGCATTAGACCTTGCCCTTTAGCAAATGGACAGTGGTGCTCCTGGAGGCGAGGGCCGGGGGGCGGGGGGGTAGGCGTGCCTTCTGCAGCGGAGGTCTGCCCTTCCCAGGTTGGTGGCCAGCTGGTTGGGTTCTGTCACCTGGGAGGAGACCTAAAGGGATCTGGATAGATCCTTAGCTCTTGCTCTTTTAGCTGCGCCTGGGAACCTCACCCTAACCTCCTCAATTTATTTTTCTTTTCAGTTAGCATACAAAGTATTTTCCTCCTTCCCTGTTTTTGTTGAGGCAGGGTTTCACAAAGCCGAGGCTATCCCCAAACGTCAGACTGCCCTTTAACCCCTGATCATGCAGCCTTCTGCAGTGGATGGATTATAGGTGTGCACCACATGCCAGGTCTCTGGGACTCTCCTCCCTCTCCCGTCCCTTCCTCCCTCCCTTCCTACTTTCCTCCCTCCTTCTTTTTTCCCCTTGTTATTTCACCTATTTTCATTAACCAAACAGGCGCTTGCTAAGGGTGGGTCACCATATGACGTTGAAAACAATCCTCTCAGTTATCTGAGGTCAGGGCAAAGAGTTCCCTAGACAGAGCTCAGAAAGGGCTATTGCTGAGGGGACCTGTGAAGTAACACCCACCTGACTCTGCACTCATTGCTGGTACAGCCCAGCAGGAATTCACAGCTCCCAGGAGGATGGTGAGGATCTTGGCCAACGGGGAGATTGTTCAAGATGATGACCCGCGAGTGAGGACCACCACGCAGCAGAGAATTAGCAGTCCTCGGCAGGTAGGCATCCGTTCCGAGGAGAAGCCTTTGGCCCCAACTCCCATAAGTTTCTCAAACTGGCTTCTCACCTCCTATAGAAGCCACTGTAAGCCTTCCTAATGCTGCGACCCTCATGTTGTGGTGACCCCCCCATAGATTTTCATACTACTTCATGACCATTTCACTACTGTTCTGTATTGTAATTGTAACCTTGCGGGTTTTTTTTTTTTTTTTTTTTTTTTTTTTTTTTTGATGGTCTTAGAGACCCTTGATAAAGTGTCTTTGATCCCAAATGGCTGGAGACCCACAGGTTGAGAACTGTTGTTTTCTAGTCTGGCATTCTCTCCACAGAGGGTCTATCAGAGTAAGAACCAACTTGTGTCTGCCTCCTGCCTCCTGGGGAGGGAGCCTTCCCTGGCCTCAAACCTACAGGTTCACTCTCTTTGGGTGAGATTTACATGATTTGCAAACCCTGCTGGAGCCAGCATGTCTCAGGAAGCTTTGGATGGAGAAAAGCTGGGTAATAGAGGAGATGAATGGTTAGCTTAGCTTCAGAATATTTTGCAGAGAGGGTGCCAACCTAAAGATGCCCACCTCTTGGGGCCCGGCCCCCTTGTCCCAGGCGTGGTAAGGGGAACACAGGCCATGATTCTTCATGCTCTGAGATTTAGGGTCTTGGCTGTTCCTGGGAGAGAAGCTCTGTTGTAGGATGGCCATGGGGGAGGGCGGGGCAGTCTTCTGGCTGGTGCTTCCTCTGGATTCATTTGTCTGTCTTCATCTTCCAGGGTTTTCTCAACAGAGGTCATGGTGGGCCTCCAGGGGGCCCTGGACCCCGCCAGCAGCAGGCAGGTGCTAGGCTGGGTGCTGCCCAGTCTCCCTTCAATGACCTGAACCGGCAGCTGGTGAACATGGGTTTCCCCCAGTGGCATCTCGGGAACCACGTGGTGGAGCCGGTGACCTCCATTCTCCTACTTTTCCTGCTCATGATGCTTGGGGTCCGTGGCCTCCTGCTAGTGGGCCTGGTCTACCTGGTGTCCCACCTGAGCCGGCGGTGACAGGGAGGGCAGGAGTGTTCATTAGGATTGGCTGGGCTTTGCTGTGAGAGCAGGGACGGGGGAGGGAGCAAGCAGTCAGAGATGGGACCATGGGTGTGTATTTCCCCATTGTGATAAACAGGAGGCAGAGGGCACAGCATCACCAGAAAGTACAGAGTACTCGTTTTCTTGGAAGGCTTTTAGGGGCTTAGGGCCTCCATTAAGAAGCACAAGCCCAGGGTAAGACAGGCTAGTATGTTGTATTCTCCCAGAACACAAGCCCCTTTCCCTTAATCCTCCCCAGGAGCAAAATGAGTTTAGAGAAGCTAGGAATTGTCCAGATTTGTGTAGCATTCCTTTTTTCTAATGGTGTCTTTTTATTAGTTACTCTTATTTATGAAGAAAGGTATTGAAATTCTGTTTATTGTGACATTTTTCTTTCTTTTTTTGGGGTATGTTTGGTTTTGAGACAGTGTTTTAACTATGTATCCTTGGCTGGCCTGGAATCACTATATAGACCGGGTTGGCCTTGAACTCACAAGAGATCTTCCTGCCTCTGTCTCCCAAGTGCTGGGACTAAAGGCGTGTGGTACCCTGTCCAGCTATTGTGATATTTTCAATAAATAAATTTGAGTCTTCTTTTAAGAAGTGGGTGAATGACTCCCAGCTGTGTGGTCTGGAAGCCTGAAGAGGGGTGCCTGGTTAGAGGAGGAGGTGGCAGGGCCTTTGACCTTGGTGATTGCCACAGTTTTCTCAGTAGGATGGGGAGATGGGAGGTGAGGCATAAGCCTGGACCCCTTGCCTAGTGCTGGGGGAATGCTCTAGGTACCCAACACACTGAACTCCAAGGTCAGCTTTTGGGGAATGGTCTTTTGGCCAGAATGGCTGGGGAGGCACTAGGAGTCAAAGAATGGGGTGCTTGTCTGGGGTCTTTCTTGCTTGGGTTCTTCCCAGGGGCTACTCAGTTCCCTCCAACCACCAGTGTCTCCCAGAAGCCCCATGGCAGGCTGTCCTTATCCTTAGGGAGTGTTGGGTTGAGGCAAACTCTTTTCCCGACAGGAGAGGCCTCAGGTTTGGCTTTTGAACTCTTCTGGGGGTTGAGACAAGGTTTCTCTGTGTATCCCTGGATGTCCTGGAATTGCTCTGTAGACCAGGCTGGCCTCAAACTCAGAGATCCGCCTGCCCCTGCCTCCTGAGTGCTGGGATTAAAGGCATGCGCCACCAACGCCCTGCTCTGTCCACTTCCACATCTGTGGTGGGACTTGTTCTGTACATGAACTGCATTTTGGGGTGTGGATTCGATTCCTCGTGTACGCAGCCACCCTTTCTAGAATCCAGTTCCCTTCCCCACAGTCCACATCCCGGGAAGAGAATTTAGTGCTTCGTTGAAGACAAGTAAGTAAGGGTTCAGGTCCAGATGAGGGTGGGATGCCAGAGGAGCTGGTGGTACCCATAGACGGACTAACATGAGGACGCAGGGCTGTTGGGGCTGAAGGTGTCCTGCCTCTGTGTCCTTGGGCTCCAGGCTGGTTGATGCTGTTCTGCTTTGCTTCTCCAGCCGTACATCTGAAGGTGTTATGACAACCCAACTCTGACTCAGGCACAGACCCCGAAGGGCGGGTTGTGTGGTCCAGTGCCTATGTAGAGCCCAGGGTGGCCTGAGTGTGCAATGCTCTTGCTTCAGCCTCCCAAGTAGCAGGGATTATAGGCATGTGATGCCATACAGGGCTCTGTCTGTCTGTCTGTCTGTCTGTCTGCCTGCCTGCCTGCCTGCCTGCTTGCCTGTGGTTTTGATGTTTCTGGCAATTGAACCCAGGGCCTTGTACGTGCTAGGCTCAGACTCTACTGCTGAGCTACATCCACAGTCCTCTTGTGACTTAATTTACTTTTCTTAAGTTGCCCATGCTAGTTTTGAACTTGATCTGTAACCCAGGCAGGCCTTGAACTTGTGAGCCACCTACCTCAACCTCTCAAGGATCTAGGGTTATAAGCATATGCCACCAGGCCCAGTTTCTTAGAATCTATGCCAATATAAACACACACAGCTATTTGGATTCTTAGTTTTTTATACCACAGTAAGTTAAGCACATTTCTCATCTGTAGTTCTTGGCCATCTGTCGCAGGTCCATTAATTCTTTTGGCCTGGGGTGACTTGTGACTCTCTTTTGGCCTCTGCTGTAGTTTATACCTGGGGGTATTTTCCCCATAGACTTCAAAAGGAGCCCTAACCCTGAGCTGGGTGTAGGTCATAGTGGAAATGCCTGCTTCGAGGCGTGTAACTCAGTGAAGGGTTTAAACTTAGTCCTGGCCTCTAATCTTCTGAAACGGAAACATCTCCCATATGCCAGCAAAACCTGAGGGAAACCACCTGTAAAACCATGCCTGGGTGGTCATTCCCTGATCAGTTGAGAGGCTGCAATCTCACCTTCACCAGTAGGGGGCCTCACCCGAGGGCTGCCTGTTGCTCCCTGTGGACCTCTCTCTACCATTAACTAATGTGGCAGCAAGAGCTTGGATAGATTCTCACAAAGGTCAGTTTTAGTTGTGAAACCCGAGTATGTTGGCCTGGCCTGTTTTTGCCCATGGCAGAGCTTAGTAGGTGGATACCCGGTTTGGCACAGTGTCTGTGCCTGCTTCTTCTGCCGTCTTGGTCTGATGAGCATCTAGGTTAAGGTGAAGGGAAGTCAAGAAATGTTATCCACCTGGGAGAGCCACTTCTCCTGGCCTGTAGACCTGTTTTGAATGTTGTCTCATAGCGCCACCTGGTGGGAAGTCTGGGCAGGAGCATGGCCTCATTCCAGGGAGATTGGTGGCAAGTGCTCTCTGCTTTTATTCTAATCCTTATTCACTTTGGCTTCACCCTGGTCTAGGTCTCACAACAGGAAGAGTCACAAGCCTGCCATTTCATCAAAGAAAGGGGGGTCTTCCCCTTTTCACAGGCAGGACGGAGGTTTAGGAGAGGAAAACAAGATAGACAACAATAGGGTACCAACAAGTTGCCTTCAGTGTACTGAGGCTGGGGTGCCTGGTGGCTGCTGTTGGAGGATGAGTCATGGTCTCTTTCTGGGGCGTTTCACACTCGGTTATTTCTAGCCCACAGTTCTGCTGTCACATGAGGTGACCCAGTGGGGAGACTCTGCCTTTTAGGGCCGTGTTCGCTGTAAGTGGGTGTAGGCAAATCTATCCCAGACCACCCAGAAACTGTCTACCAACCCCTCTCACACCCTCCTAGCCTTGCTCAAAGGCCCAATGCCCAGTGGTTTCCTTTATGAATATGACCTGTGTGACATAGCTAGCATTTCTTACACGGGGCCAGTGACTTAGTGCTTGTCTTCTTCACAAGTTGAGGCAGGCATCTTTGGGCAGCTGTGTCCCAGTTGTCCTGTCTGACTGGAGAATGGGTCCCCTCAAGCAGTGCCTGGGCCCGGTGAGGACTGGAAGGGTGGCACAGAGGTTTGAACCACACCACTGCTTAGGGTACCCCAGTGAAAGCTACTGCCTGGGTCGGGAACATTTAGAATGAAATTTCTTTTGAAATTCCAGGAGGGGGAATAAAACAACCAAGAAAAATATCTCAGTCTGGTTACTACCTGTCAGTGTATGGCTGTTAAGAAATTTGCCTGGGGCTGGAGAAATGTCTCAGGCAGGTAGGTAGGCAGGCAATTGCTTTACACACCTGAGGACCTGGTTTTGATCCCCAGGACCCTCCCTCTTCAACACAAAGCCAGACATGGTGGTACATGTTTGTAAGCCCATGCTGGGAGGCAGAGACAGACATCCCTGAAGCTCAATGGACAGCCAGTTTAGCCTCCTTGGCAGTTCCAATCTATTGAGAGATCCGGTCTCAAAAAACAAATGTGTACGGCACGTGAGAAAGGATGAGGCTGTCCTCTGTTTGCTCCTTGCATGCATGCACACACGCACCTGCATATTCACAAACATACCCAAAGATGTTTGCCTGCATGAAAGCCCCCCGCAGTGTGAGAGCTGGCATTTTTCTTGCACTTTGGAGCTCAGCTGGTTCTGGAGAACTACCTTGTTCCAAGAAAGTGTTTAAAATTCAGAGACTTTCCTCAAGGAACTGGATAGCACACTGGTGCCAGCAGGATTGTTGGGTGTTGCTGTCACATTGTTTCATGCATTGTCATTGTTCCTTTAGTAAACTAAAATTCAAAGGTGCCAGAGAGCTCGCCTAAGCCATCTTAGCCATGGATTTCAAGTCAGATCCCTTGGTCGCCAACTCTGAGGTCTTCTTGTGACGTCATGGTCAGAGTCAGTTGAGGGCTGACTTGAGGAGCTCCGGTGTGGAGACTGGGTCTCCTAGCGTTGAGCCCCTTCTCTCAGGCCCATCCTTCCCCGTTGAGTTAATCTGTTGTGTCTTCTGTAGCTGTGTCTGCAGACAGCCTCCAAGATTTCCAGCTTGTCCTTCCAGATTCATCTCTAACATGATTTATTCAGTCATTCTTATGACTTCTGCTAATTCCTTCCACAAATTCAACCAAATCCTGCCAAGACTCCTCCCATCCAAGTTCCTACTGGCTAACAAGGAGACAGCCTGCTCTTACTAACTCCAGGTCTGTGGTTCAGAGCTTCTGGAAGACAAAGAAGCAACTAAACTAAAATTAAATAAAGTTTTCTTTCTTCTTCCTTCCTTTCTTTCTTTCTTTCTTTCTTTCTTTCTTTCTTTCTTTCTTTTTTTTGAGCCAGGGTTTTTCTGTGTGACAGCCCTGGCTGTCCTGGAACTCACTTTGTTGACCAGGCTGGCCTCAGACTCACAGAGATCCACCTGCCTCGTCTTCCCAAGTGCTGGGATTAAAAACATGAGCCTCTACTGCCTGGCCAAAACCAAAGTTCTTAAATCAGGTTAAGTATCACCTCTGTCACCATAAAAGCCAAAAGTGAAGAATGCAGTCACCAGGGATGAAGGCTCTTCTTCACCCCATGGTCCAGAATATAGCTGCAAGATGTCAGCCATCATCCTTATTACCAGCAGGAAGGACAAAGGGCAGAGGTAATCCTCTCTCTGCTTAGGCTCACTCCTTCCTGTTCACA